TCCATAGCAAGTGGACAGACATGCTGTGTCATCAGTTATGCCTCCGTCCTTGCACTGATTTTTATTTCTCTGCTCTGCAGTCGTTTGTTCATCTTGGAGAAACACAACCCCCCTGGCCACTCATTTTAAGGCAGGCTGAGTTGTTTTTACTGGGAAGCTAGAAGCAGTGGGGCTTTGGTTCAAGGCATATCTTGCAAGTGCTCTGCCTTTCTGTGATGAATGACTTTGTGGAGTAGGTTTACTGAACACCTATGTATGTAATACCGTTTTCAAGCTTCAGAAATGCTTAGGTGCTAGCGAAGTCTGATAATTCACACTCATTTATTCAGATTTCTCTGTTTTTCAGGAAGGGGAGCTGGGCTTAGGAGTGCACAGCATTTTCCAGCACATGAAGCACTGGAAGCTAAAGACAAATGTGGGGGGGGGGCGGGGGGGAGAAAAGCAAAATTGACTGCAAAATAGATGGGAGAAAGGAATGATAGACGCATTGCTCACCTCTAGAGAAAAGGGTGTTGGTGAATTTGGCACTGTTAGGCTGCGTGAAATTAAAGCAGCAGTTTGAAGTTTTTCTTACTTGCTTTGCTGGTTAGATGTGCTGTGGGATGCCCAGGCTGCACAGCGTATCAGGAGTGTTGTGCAAGCCAGGATCCCAGTGCTAGTGCTTGCTCATGAGCTGAGTAGAAGAGGAGAGCAGGCTGGGCAAGTGGCACTTGCTCTTGCCAGTAACAAGCCTGTTTGCTTGCATACCTGGCTTTTGAAATGGCTGCAGCCCTAAGGAACAAGGCTAAAACCTGCCTACAAATAGCTTGTGGTGCAAGGGAGGATTCATTCACGGCTCCGAGGGGTGACATTCTCTCTGCTCCTAGTAAAGCACCAGTGAGGCAGAGGGTAGTTCTAGCAAATTCCTTCCCTCCCAGCTTTCTGTTCAGAGTGCTGGGGTGTTTGGTTCTCACTTGGTGCAATGCAGCTGGCCCCAGGGTATGGCTGTGTTGTGTGAGGGGCTGTGCACTGGGCAAGCAGGTGACAAGAGTTCGGTGGATGTGATCTCCATTAGGTGTTTTCCAGGAATACCCATGAGTCCTCTTGGACCAGACTCCTTTGTTGTCTAGATGCTGTTCAAACACATCCTGTTTTCCAGAGTTTACAATAACCCACAAAGCCTTGAAACATCCAACTCCAGGCAGCAATAATCTGCACTTTCTTGGTCAGGGATACACGGGAGATGGTGGGGAGGGCTGTTCTGTGCATCAGGCTGCTGCCTGGCACTGCTAATCCAGGCACATCCCTCCCTGCCCAAGGCCAGCAGCTCTCAGAGCAAGCTGAGGAAATAGTTGACTGCATGACTGAGAACTGTTAAAGTGAGACATTTTCTCCCATGCAGGGTGCAGCAAGGTTTCTCATCAGTTCTCCCACCCAGTATTAATTAAGCATATGGCAGGGACAAAGGTGCTGGCTGCCCTGGGAGGCTTGGAGTAGTTACACACCTGAGTGTCTGTGGCCAGTAACTGTGGGGATCTCCCTGTGTTGGAAAAGGATAAGCTACAGAGAAGCTCCTACGCAAGTCTTGGCTCCAGTCAGGGAAGAAAATGATGGTTTATCATTTTTTTCAAATGTAGTGTTGAAGAGAGCAGGTAGGATTGTGAGGATGAATGCTGCAGGACTTCGAGACAGCAAGATGGGTGTGTGCAAGAAACCACAGGCACTGGGGTCACCTCCTTTATATGGCTGCACGTTCATCCTGGCACTTGACCCATCACATAAAGTCTAGGGACTGGCCTGAATTTTAAATGTTGTTTTAAAGAACAGGGAGGAGAAAACCAACAAAAACTGGTTTTTAGAATAGTGATTCTGTAAAGTCTTTGGGTTTTTTCATTGCGTTTTTCCAGTTCTGACTGGGAGGAGGGCTGGGTGAGCAGGTACAGACCTGGGAATCAGGCTGCTTGCTCCGCAGTGTGGCATTGCTGCCAGTTTCCTGCAAGTGTTTGCACAAACCCCATGTGTTTTGGTTTCTTTAAAATGAGTGGGGAAGTAGAGCTACTTCTGTCTGTGTGGAGTTGCAAGGCTGGAAGTGTTGCAGCATTTTCAGAGTGAAGAAAGTATGTTGCCTCTGTCTTGCTTGCTGGGTGTACTCATAGAGTTACCATTTCTTGCCAGGACGCCCTGCAGAAGGCAGTTGCATAGTGGGGAGCGAGCAGGGGTCTGGGCTTATTGTGCAGCAGCAGCGCAACTGCTTTGTCACTACATTTTTATTTCTGTTGGTGTGAGAGCTGGAAGGGATCCGGTATAACTTTTGGGTGAAGGCTGCGTTTGCATGTCTGCCTGTTAGAAGGCCAGGTTCATCTGCCCAGAAGCGATGTGCAGAGGAAATGTAAAAGAAATCTGTAAGGCTTTTCCTTCAGCTCTCCACCACAAAGTCATGATGTTTGCGGTTTATTAACTGGACAATGCTTAAAGTGCATTTTATTGAACTGTATCCTGAAAAACAAACCCCAGGTTTGGAGCTGCTGGAGCTTTGTGGCTGGGCTGGCAGGAGCTATGCAAGTGCAAAGGACTCGTTTCAGAGCAGTGTGGGTTTTCTAAGGCAAACCTGTCTGCTGGTGTAATGTCAGTGCAGCCACATCAGATGAATCACAGCCCAAGTTTTTATCCTGAGAACTACTAGCTCATCTTTTTTTCCCCATCAGCTCATAATTTTACAAGATGAAATCCTACCATGTTAATACGTAGTATAGATTCAATCAGTCGGTTGTTGAGAATGATTTGGAGTTGGTGATTGGGACAATCAGTTTTGAGTGGGCTGTGGGTATGTTTGCTGTGTTGCTGTTCAGTGTCAGCCATCCTGTTGCATTTTGTAAGAGCTTCCATTAATTTCAGTAGAAATCTGCATTTGGGGTGAAGGGTGACCTAATCTCTCAAAAGGATCTTAATCCACTTAGCCTCTCCTGCAAAACTCAGCATTTTTTCCTTGTCAGGAGCAGACTGCATTCCTAACCTTGATGTGTCACTTTCCAGTTGGCTTAATATTTGGGTAAGGATAAAAAGGAAATGTTTTTGAAAGATGAAAAGAATCCATGCTGCTAAGGTATGTGCGTGTGTGATGTGCAAATATTTAAAAAAAAAAAAAAAGGAGAGATGTGAGCATAATTGTAAGTGCTTGGGTGGTAGAAAAAAGATAAAATAACACAGATAATACAAAATAACAGCAGATGACTATATATAAAGAACAAGCACAGGAAGAGGTAAATCCATTTGAAAGAGTGTAAATGGGGAATTATGAGGGAAGAGGAAATGGGACTGAAATGTTGTTTAGTGTAAATTTAAGTGCAAGACAAAAATAGGGCTCCTGTTAGTTTGACCTATAAATGCCTCTTCCCAGAGGCCTGGGTGCAGCCAGGAAAAATATGGTCTGTGATGCAAATATAAGACCTAATGCCTACACCTTGTTAAGACTGGAAATCTTCTAGCCTACTGCATTAAATCTCGCTCGGGTCAGAAAGGGTGGAAAGCTGTTGCCAGTAGCCTGTGTTTAGTTTTGCGGGGTTTCTGCTCAGACTCTGGTCACAAAACAAAGAACACCGCAATTAACACTAATTGGTACCTTCCTTGATGCTTTGGCCAGGGAGAATGAACTGTCCCCTGCCTCCCTGGAGGCAGTCACTCTGGGTCAGAGGAAGAGGCCAGTGGGGATGTCGCATGGCTCACAGGACCTTCATGCCAACGGGAAATCTTGAATCAAACCCACTTCACATGGCATGAGGACTACCTGTTTTCTATGTGCTGTTTCTCCCTGGGTGGTCATATTTCTGCAAGGAGTGGAAACATGCAGACGTGCCCATGTGCACTCGATCATTGAAGCCGTTTGCTCACTTCCCTTTAATCAAAACCTTCTGCTCTTGCATTTTCTTTTCTGTTTGGTGACCGAAGCGAAGCTTCATGTGCCTTCACGTGGGAGTTAAGTGGGTCAGCGGGCTGCTTTGTTTGTGGCAGCTCTTATGTGGAAAAAGCCTGATGCAAAATGCTGAGGCTTGGCAGGAAAGTGCCAATTAAAGATAGCAGTGCAGGAGCATATTGTCTGAGCTGAAAGTGCTCGAATATGGGGCTGTGACAACTGTCATGTGCAAAGGGAAGAATAAGGAATTATTAAATCTAATGTTGATCTGAAGTAACCAGTGCTTTCCCTGTTTCAAGTGTTGGTTCTTGTGCACTATGGACAGGGAGTTTGTTCCCTGTTTCACAGGTAAGGTAAGGGAGGGTAGAGGAGGTGAGTTACACAGGGAGCCCGTGCCAGAGTGGGATCAACAGCACTCAGAAGATTGGTGCTCGGGATTCGCCTCGTGTTGGCCCATGTTATTTATCTTGGTGCCAGCAGCAATCCAGCCTTCCTCTTCGCACTGCACAGGTCTGTTCAGGTGATGTGTGCAGGAGATGTGAGTGCCAGGAGACAGCAAAGGGAGAGATGCAGTGTTACATCGTGGCGAGGGAAGTTGTTCTCCCCCTTAGCCGTGCAAGTAGTCAAGTTGGGGCTGCAGGTGAAGGAAATGTGGCTTTCTAATTCTGCGTGGCAGTGTGCAGGGAAGCAACCCAGGGACAGCCAGGCTTTGGTGCTGCTACCTCTGCTGTCATGGGCAACTACATCATCATACTATCATTCATCAGTGAACACGTTTCTACTTGGAGCACTCAGCCATCAGATTCCTGAGCAGACATTGTGCAAAATGGCCTGGAAGGAAAGGAGGAGAGCAGGTCACTCAGGTATAGTCAGTGTTTTCACTGAAATAGAAGCCTTTTCCCCTCCCAGTCCATCACTCTGCTTCCCCCTAGTTCTGTTTTATTGACGTGTTTTTGTTTGAAAGAGCAATATTGATAAATGAGGGCTAGAATATCCATACATTCCTTTATTTGAAAAAAAGCTTTCTGGCTTTACTTTGCCCTTCCTTACAGCCTTCTGTGCCCTCACTGCAGATGACCATAAGCTGATCTCCTGTTTCATCTTGCAGATGGACTGTGCTGTATTTTGCACGTGTATAGGCACACACCTCCTACTCATGAGGAAACAGACCTCTCCCAACGAGCAGGGAACAGTGTACTTTGCAGGTGGACTGATTAGAGAGAGATGTGCTGCTTTGCTGGGAACAGTATCCTCTCGGGAGACAGATGTTCCTGCCCTTGTGCTGCACTAGTCCTGCCTGTGCTGAAGATCCACGTGTGAGATAGGTAAGTAAATGCAGATCATTCAGAAATGAGAGCACAGTAAGGAGTAATTTTATTTAGGTGCATTATTTATAAGGGTGATGTCAAATGCCTGCTGTTAAACCACCGGTAGTGAAGTCCTTGTGAAGCACTCGCTTGTGTCAGTAGCAGCTCCTCTAGTTTCCGTCATTTAGAGATTCCTTCCTGTACACCAGGATGAATCTTCAAGGGCTGGTGAGAAGTAGCCCAGTTGTTACCTAACAGTAACTTTGGAGGAGCTGAGGTATCCATGCAGATTGGATTCCATCCAGAAACTTCAGTCTGGTTGCCCTTGGGGTATCCTGACATGCTTTAATGGTGGGTTTCCACCAGGAGCTGTCACAGACTATGGACAGCGTGCCATGAATGGTGCTATAGCTAATACAGATTGATGTCCCTGTGAAAGCTGAGGGACTGAGCCTCCTCTGAGCAGAATTAAAGAATATTGAGATGCTGTGAGACTCTAAAAGAAAGCTTAAAAAAAAAATCCATCAAAGGACAGTGTTCTACTAGAGAAAGCAGGATGAGGTGTGCAATATAGTGTGATACAGTGCAATAATATATGCAGTAGCAATTAATTTTAAGAAACCTAAAGGGCAAGAATCAGAACAGTGCCTTTACTGCCTGCTTTTAAAAAGCTTGAAGAAAACTTGCAGGTTACAATGTATTTTAGACTTCTTTTTCTAATGAAAATGAGACTTATGTGATCAGTCCGTTTGTCTGCTGCTATTCAGCTGTCAGGCTAGACCCCTCCTTTTTCTTCTCAACATTTAGGGAAGAGCAAAGAATCTCAAGTTTCATGAGAATTGGAGGAGAGAAATAGTCATTGCCAGGCTCGGGGAAAACCAGGAGGGAGCTGGGAGATGCTGTGGTTCCTTTGGCAGCAGCCTGCCGGTCGATCTGCACACGTGTACGGCCCTGGACTGACCGTACCTCATGCTGCCAGTGTCTCCTTCGAGGGCAGTGTCACTGGACACACAAAGGAAGGTAGGGGCTGCTGAGGGAGCAGGGTGGGTTAGAGGGACAAAGGACACAGTTTGGTAGGAAACCAGGTGTCATTAGTGCTGCTGCTCCTGGAGCAATTTGGTTATCTTAAAAATACAGGCTAAAAATCTCTGCAGGGAGCCAAGGAACTGGTCATGTAATAACAGAAAAAATCAGAACTGATTGAATGACAGAGAAATTTATTTTTTTGCAGAGACTCTATCTGTTTTATAATAAAAACATGAAGAAAACACATAGAGAAAGACTGTGTCCACGCTATTAATTTCAGTGAGGAAGCTTCTAAGTTTTGTGCAGTTGTCACCTGAAGTCTTGCAACAAAAGAGGCAGTTAAAATTATATTTTCTGTGCATGTTTTATCTACATGCGGGAAAAAGAGTACTTCAAAACCAAGCCAATTGCATCTCTTGGCATTTCTTTATGAAGCTTTGGATTGCCAGTGACCCTAAAATCACCAGAAGTAAGAATCTATGAAAAAAAGACCAAACACCCAATCATATCTGAAGGCAGTATTGAGAAATTTGCAAAGTAAATGCCTCTTTATCCTATTCACAGCAATTGTGTGATATGCAATTATTGATTTCTTACTGAAGCCAAATTAAATACTCCTTATCATAATTCAGCTTAGAATTTATTTGATCGATTTTTATCTATTTTTCTGTCTCAAAATGGAATGTGATGGCATTTTAGGTAGCAGGCAGGATTTATATTTTATCTAGTTTCTAAGAAAACTTTGCCTATAGTTCTAACAGATTCAGCTGTAGTGGAATGATTGGTGCTTTATTAATGTACTGATGATC